ATATATTTTTCTTAAAATTTATAACAAAGTGCGTTTTTTATTTATAAAAAATTACGCGCCATTATTTTCGCCGGGGACTGTACGTGCTTAAGCAAATTCTTCCATTCGGCATATCTTCTAAACTAGCTCGAAGCAAAGGCATTATTACATCTGTAACATAGGTACCTTCATTTTGCTCTTTACGAGTTGAGCTATTTTCAAAGGCAGGATTATTCCAAACATCTCCACTAGCGATAATGGAGATTATAAGAAATTAATTTTAATTGACTTTATAAGAAAAAGAAACTACTTACAGTATACTCAATATGCGTCCAGTTATTTTCTCTAACATGGATAAATTTTCTTTCCAAGTTTTGTCATGCATGATATTTCTGAGGATTATTGTATTATCTGTCTCATTAAAATCATGCACAAACTTCTCACATTTTGAAACGATTGAATCCATTTCATATTTTTATAATAATAAGGCTCCTATTAACAAGACAGTTAGTAAAAAAATTTATTTCGTGAATTATATAAAATGATCATTATTTACCATGAAAGCACGTTTTTGCATTTGACTTAATTTTTTTACCACAACTGACTCATCACTTAAAACCATATTTGCCTCCGGGTCTTGCCATGAAAGTTTAGAAGGGATGATATAGTCAACCAAATTTTTCTTGAGGGCGTCATAGAGAGGGGCATCCAAGTCAGATGATGGATTCTGTATGAGAAAAGACATTTCGAATCGAGTAAGAGAGAAAACAAGTTCCAGATCTTACACTAAGCTTCGACTTTAATGTATTATAGTTTTGCTCAATATCCTCTTGTGTTTGATCTGAACTAAATTCTTTATCCTATATAACAGGTTAGCTTATGTCAGAGAATTTCTGCTAAATGGGCTTATCTTTTGGTCTGAATTATAAGATACTTACCATATTCAACGCTTTTATTGATCTCAAACCTACAACGCTTTTATAACCGATCTCCATCTACAACAGATGAGGTGCATTAGATTCGCGCGAAATATATTATGTGCACATAATTTGGTACCAATTTTCAGTGAAATACATAAGCTACTATCATTTGGCTAAATAGTCACGCACAGCCAGGGGGGAGCAGTACCCTCGACACCTCGAGGCGTCCCTAAAGATATCGCTCTTCCGGGTCGGCATTCCCCAGCCTTCAGCAGTGACCAACCATATTAACAAAGCTCATCTGTTGTAATATCATCATAACATAAATAAAAAATTGCTATTTAGTACACCACTAACCTGTGGCAGAACTTCCAATACCTTTGCCCTTCGTTCTGAATCAACTATTTTTGTTAACGCACTGTCTGCTAAACTTCTGACATCATTATAGGCACTCAAAGTATTCCCAATCGTTGCTAAAAAAACGACAGAGGCCCCACAAATAGCTTCAAGAGGTTTGTTTTCGATTTTTGAAACTACCCGTAGTGCACTGACTAAACTACCCCGGGTTTTTTACAAATTTGCAAAGTACCCGGGTAGTTTAATCAGGGGGGTACTTTGATAGGAGGGGGTTTTTTAATCGGATGCAATATGTAGATCATAATCATGTGATCTCTATCGGGTATAAAAAATACTTCGTCTTTCATTTCACATTCACATTTCACTTTTCACGCTGCACAATTTTTACTTTTTAAATGGTTATTAGAGGAAACAAAAGGTCTAAACGCTCTAGAGTCACTTTAAAAAAAAGGAGACAATGGTGTGTACGTGAGAAATTAATGGTCTTACATTTTTTAGATCGTTCAAATAGTGTTCGTGCAACGGCAAGACATTTCGATATAGAACCAAGTCAAGTTCGTGACTGGAGAAGTAAAAAGACAAACTCAAAACATCAGCACCTCATTTATTAAAAATGCACAAGGGTAGAAACCCATATTTTTCAGACTTATAACAAGAGCTAGCAAAGTGGATTATGGATTGTCGGGCACAAAGTTTACCAATTACTAGAAATATGGCAGTAAAGAAGGCTAGGGAGCTTGCACAAACTGACGAATTTCAAGAGAAGTATTCAACCATTTCTTCTTTTAAGTTTCCAAAAAAATGGCTGGATTGTTTTATGGTTCGTCATGATCTTTCAAACCGTCGAAGAACAACAGTATCTCAACATTTGCCAGAAGACTTACTTGAAAAGCAACAGAGTTTTTTGAGATATGTTCTTTATAGGAGATTACAATATAATTATCCACATCAATTTATTGGAAATATGGATGAAACTCCTGTGACCTTTAATTTACCCAGTTCTAGTTCATATACCTTAGAAAAACGTGGTTCTAGCACTATCAGTATTAAAACTACAGGACATGAAAGCAGCACTTTTACAGTTATTTTGGGTTGTATGGCTGATGGATCTAAATTGCCACCTGTCATTATCTTTAAATTGAAAAACATACCTCGAGGAACATTTCCTGATGGTATATTTGTAAGAGCAAATGAGAAGGGATGGGTTAATGAGAATGAAATGATCTGGTGGGTGGAAAACGTTTGGTCCAAAAGAACTAATGATGATTCATTATTGAATCCCAGATCACTTCTAGTTTTGGATTCTTTTCGTGGTCATTTAGTTGATTCTGTTAAGCAAAAATTCAACAAAGCAGTGACTAATATGGTAGTAATTCCTGGTGGATTAACGTCTAAATTGCAACCTCTTGATGTGGCGATGAACAAAAGTTTTAAGTCATTTGTGAGTGTTAATTATCATTTATTTTATTATTATATTTATAGTCAATATTAACTAAAAATATAACCTTTTTTTAATAGATCCGAGAGCTCTATAATGATTGGATGACAAATGAACTCCATGAATTAACTTCGGCTGGACGTATTAGGAAACCTTCGTATTCTTTAGTATGTTCGTGGGTAAAAACTGCGTGGGAGAAAGTTGAACCAAGTCTAATTCGTAAATCATTTAAATGTTGTGGAATTTCGGTTAAAACGGATGGTACAGAAGATGATGAGGATAAAGAAAATAATGGTGGTAGTTATATGGATAGTGAATTAGCGGAAGAGGATGGGGAAGAGGATGGGCAAGAGGATGGGCAAGATTATAATAACTGGAATGAAATTTAAAATGTTATAGCGTAAATAATAGTAAGATCAGCTATTTTACAACTTAAAAAAAACAACCTCTAAGTAAAACACCCGGGTCTTTTACAAAATTTCTGCTCAAAATCTAAGGGGGGTAGTTTACACCGGGGGGGTAGTTTAGTCAGTGCACTACGGTAATTATAATAAGAATGTACAGGAGAAGTAGAGCTTTCAAACGATATAAATTTTATTAAATTTTGTTAGTGAATTTCTGAAATGAACGTCATGAACGTTTTGGATTCAAACTTTTGTCTATCGAGTGTATCATGCTCATGCGCGATGTCGGTCATAAAATTTCAAAAATTCACATCTCGACACTTTTCTAACCATTTTTTTTTTATTTTGTTCTTCCGTACATCGAATACATTCATATAATTTTAAACAGATTACTGTGTGATCTCTACTACAGAATGCAAACGATCACGCAAAATAATGGTGTTAATTGATATTTGTGCGCGTTTATTGCTAAGTATAATAGTAACTTTCTTCTGCTTGACCGCGACATCCAAAAGATACGTAGAGACAGATCTAACAAACAAAACAAAGAAAATTTATTAGAAACATGTGGAGATATAGATTTTTGAAGTTCGTGTTCGAAGTAACTACATGCGGTTTTGACATGTTTTCAGCGACAAATATTAGCTGTTGGAAATTTTGCTTAGAGACATCCGATTGAGCTGAAATTTTACAGGTGATCAGGGTTTCTTATACACTCACTATACGCAGAGAAATTTTCAAAACATTTACTCACTCTTATCCCGAGTAGGATACTTATGCCGCTATTGTAAGTAATACAGTTGTGCTATTCAACATTTTTGAACCTCCTGAAGTGCGTGGCTCAAAATGGGAATCTCTTCGCCATACCTGGCTAAGTGCCAAAATCTTTTTATTTGATTTAGTTTAGAGAGTTCCTTTGTTACTATTTACGTTACTCTGTCGATAAATAGCTTTAACGATTCCCTTAATTGTCAATAAAGATCTCTCATTAACGGAACAGTTTGTGGCATTATACTCAACCGTTGCAAGGATGCCCCAATTAAGGTTGTGGAACAGGTGACGAGAATATTTGAAAAGGTGGCATCATGACCACGTTTATCTTGGTTGACATTTGTGTAACCAATTGGATTCTTTTTTCACATCAATAATAATAATAATGATTGTCATTGTCAATATTGGATTGACCAATAGAATCTAGTTGAACCCTGAAATTTGATGACGTTCAATGATCATTTTGACCTTGTCAAATTAGACACATTATTCTCTTGCTCGTTATCTGTTTACGATTTAAAACAATAATAGCATTTGTGCATAAATATCAGTCTAAGAACAAGGCTATCATATAACAAAGAGTATAGGGACAAGAGAAATTGACGACGGCTTGATAGAGCTTTGGGATAGCTAACACGCTTGATACGAAATACAAGGAAAATAGCGTTAGTGGTGATAAAGATAACGATAGGAAAAAGATATTAGGAACGTTTGCATAGTCAAATAATGGACAAATATCAGGTGAGTCATAGGCATGAGTAAGCATAATGATCATGTGTGTGAAAAGTCTGATTAATGAATGCCAGCGCCCTGTATTATTTCTTATCTTAGAAAATCGAAAAGTTAGGAGAAGGTAAGATAGACAAGCATATCAAAAAGACTTTATTCACTTTTCAACATATCCGATTTCAAGATCCCCGCTTCTCAATTTAGCTTTTATTAACTACTTTGTTATGCCAAGCTTACTCAATATCTTATCGTTTCCATCACTTCCGTCGTTATGATTTGTCCTATAATATACAATCCGCAGGGACGTATGGCATAGTTTACAAAGCGCAAAACAGAGATTCTAATGAAATTGTGGCTCTTAAGCGGATAAGACTCGATAATGAAGAAGAAGGGGTACGTTTGGGTAGGGAATGTGTAGGAATATATAGGCATAGTTACATACGTTTCTCGTATGTTTGTGCAAGCTCCAAGTCAAGCAGTTTAAATGATAATCAATTCGTCATTTGTTCTATGATTCTTTTACTGTCATTAATTTAGGTTCCATGTACTGCTATTCGTGAAATATCATTGTTGAAAGAGTTAAAACATCCGAATATTGTAAGGTAATAATTTTAGCAAGTTGGGATTGCCCCCAATATTATTGACTTGCACTTTTTTGCAAAATGAATATTTTAAATGGAATCTTAACTTTAATTCTGAATTCTGTATAGGCTGCATGACGTCCTTCATACCGAAAAAAAATTAACGTTAGTATTCGAGTATCTTGACTCGGATCTTAAGAAGTATCTTGACTCATACGGTGGAGATCTTGATCCCCAAACAATCAAGGTATATTTAAGTCGTATTCAATGGCATGATTGTCTAGGACAGTGGTCTTTTCTCATTCAAAAGTCGAGAAATATAAGTAATTTGGTACTTGAAAACTAGTTTTGATCTAACATCATATCTATCACGTTTACTACCAAATTAGCACTTAATGTATCAGCTACTCAAGGGGATTGCATTTTGTCACGAACACAGAGTTTTGCATCGGGTAGGTACTTTATTAATAATACGATTAAATGTAGATGAGAGTGGAGATTGTCGAATCTCTGTATTGTAAGCGCTTAGTTGAGACGAATTTATTGTATAATCAACTAATTAGACGTTAACTTATCGAACTTTAGGATTTAAAACCACAGAATTTACTGATTAACAAGGTATGTATAATAAAACCCCTAGCTTTCCTTTTGTTCCTTATATTTATACATTCTTCATAATACAATTAAAGAAAACAGAACTCAAACTAGCAGACTTTGGTCTCGCTCGCGCATTTGGCATTCCCGTCCGTAGCTATTCACATGAGGTAAATCTTAATACAGCCATTCTGATCTCTGGGTATTTTCTACTTCCCATCCATGAAAACTTCCCTAACGTTTCTTACTCTCACATTAATCGTCGTGATCCCGTACTTAGGTTGTGACTTTATGGTATCGTGCCCCAGACGTGCTAATGGGATCGCGACAGTATTCCACCTCGATCGATGTTTGGTCAGCTGGATGTATATTTGCCGGTAAGAAAAGTCGTGATTTTTTGATAATGATGATTGGGGCTTTGGAACTGGCGACTCCAGATTAAGTTGTGAAATATGGTTACGTTATTAATTTATATATGTTGTTCATTTCCTTACTAACCCGCGAACAGAAATGGCTTCCGGTAGGCCGTTATTCCCAGGAAGTTCGATCAAAGACCAATTGGTTCGAATATTTAAATATCCTTGCTTTATGAATTTATATAATCTGCGTTGTTCCGCGAGCGGTGCATTATATCATCATAAATGCATTTGTTATTGTATAATCAGACTATGATCACAAAAAATATAGAATTTCATTTAGATATCCATAACTCTATCTTCTTTTTCTGCTTTTGGATAGCACAGTTTTAGGCACGCCAACAGAAGAAACGTGGCCAAGAGTATCGCAGTTGCCAGAATATAAAGTATGTGAGATGAAAAGTATATTAATTAATTAGACAGAAGATATACAGCGTTTTGTCTGTGTCACACTGGCCTGTTACATATTAAATTATTGTTTGATATAGATATTAATTTATCCTCCCATTTGAACTGTAGCCGGATTTTGAAATTTATCCGCGGATGCCGCTCGAACGGTTTATACCAAAGCTGGACGCTCTCGGAATCGATTTACTTAGTGTATGCTTATGGTTTTTTGTTTGTTTTTTTTTTTTTTTTTTGTATTTCATTTCGTGTCTGCATTGGCTCAAACTTCCTGATTATAATATAACGTTATAATTATTGATATTAATCAGCATCTAATAGAATATCAGCCGGAAAAGCGCATCGGGGCCGAAGCGGCTCTACAACATCCATACTTTGATGAAATCAGAAAAAAGGAACAATCAGCTGCGCAGGCTGCCGGAGTGACTATCCATCAATCGAACTCGAGCTAAATCGAAGAAAATTCATTATAATTCTACACTGTATTATTTACGCTATTATTAATTGTTTTTTGACTGGTGATATCTAATGAATGGGTGGTTTGGGCATGAAGTTTTATTGGGTGGTTGGGCATGAAGTTTTATTGGGTGGTTTTTGGTCATGGCGTTGGTCATACTCTATTCAATTATCCCATATATTCTGGGGGGTTTTTTTCTTCATTATTTTTATATACATTATTTTGTTAGTATTGATGTGGCTGTTATTTATACTTAACTGTAGTAATCAAGTTCTTATTTTGGAGATGAGGAGTCAAAGAGTCAAAGACTTGCATGATTATCTGTTATGTATTAGGATTGTCTATAATGTGATACTTCTATATTAATGTGATTCATAACAGAATTGTATACGATATACCATTTTTATTGTTTGGGCACTGTACATTGAATATTCCAGAATTGCGATTGTATTTAAACTTACATATTAATAACTATCTCGATGATTCTTCTCAAAGAGTCTAGCAGATGTATGATAACGCATACTTCGTAATGAAAACAAAATTTTACCAAACAAAGCACTAGTTTTGTGGGTTTCTTCTTGCAATTAATATTCCCGCCTCACCACTCCATTGTGTTATGGACATTTACCTTCTCAGGCAACAAGATCAGAGATCGACCAACGGAATATAAGAGCCTGTCAACGAATCAGAGACTCATGCATTTGTAGCACGTAATTTGCTGCTTATTCCTCACACCGAAATCTTTAACAAAACTATTATTTGTAGCCCGTCCCATAGCCAACCAAACAGTGAAATAAAGAGACATTCTGGATCAAAAAGGTGGGGATCTACTGTTTGTGAACTCATTACGGAAAAAATTTTCCAGATTACTCCTGAAATATGGTACATTGCAACAAAACATATCATTATCCGAATTTATCTGGCCTATATAAAGTACGGGCTATTTATTATCACGTGAACGATAGAATAAATCAACACTCACAGGTCGTTTGTTATGAACTCCCAACCAGTTTTGCCCACGCCACTGATAACCGTTCGATGATGCTGTGTTATTGTGTTCAAAGATGGTACATCTTTAATATAGATGTCCAGTAACGCCCAGTTTTGTTGATCATCGCTGTGGAAGCGTAATGTACCTAAAGTATCCACCAAACATATTAAATAGTTTCTTGCAGTCATCACAATATGCTGTATATGGCCTTACCTATCACATATTCGCACATTATCACCTTGGATCACCAATACGAGAGAAATCCACCTACATGTATCTTGCCCAATCTAAATTCTGTTATTGGTGAATCAATGGTCATCACCCCCCTGTTGCCTGTCGTACACTCCCAGATATTATATCAAAAAACTGTATTTCGTTATCGCGTGCTCCCTGAGTTTTGACTTGTAATACAAAATTATTGTCTTGTTCTTGTGTTGTACAATCTTTTATATTGACGAGTATTGTATGAAATTTTCGCTGGAAGGCCATTAGAGATTGCAAAAGTCCTCCGTGAATTCACATTGCTTTTCAATACGAAAATCTTCTATGGAAGGAGCGATATCAAAAATAAAGAGGTAAAATATTAGACGCTATCGAAGCCACCTTAATTAAATAAAAAGGGCTACGGGTATAGTTTGTTGTACCTGACATTTAGAAATTACGTTCTGCAAGATCTTTTTCTCCCTCCATTAAATTTACCTCTCTAATCCATATGCTTAAGAAACGATACTTGGCGATCAAAGAAAAGATTCATCAGATTGAACGAGGAGAGAAATTTACCATTCGATCTAACATCAAGTCTTATTCCAAATAACGTCCTGTTCTCATTCGCCTCATTCTAACACCATCCGTCCACCCCTTCCGTAATTCGTACCTCGCAGACTATAATCTCTAATCTGTAGTTGTCAAAAGAATTTAACGTCAATAGGGATCACAGCTTCCCTCAAACGACATAAATTTGCTAATTTCAGTATAATGCCTATGAACAAAACTAATACCAACCGAAGAATCACGTCCCAATCCAATTCCGTTGGCTCAATTGTCTGTTCATTCTTAATAAACATTAACATGGTAAGGATGAATATCAAGAATTAATCAGATTTGCTTTTCTCATTTCTCCGAAAGAGCAGTTAAAACCTTAGCAGCAGATCAAAGATCCTTATCTTTCCTCCTCAAGACATCGTTTGGCCGAAGAGTAACTACACTCGGTTACTCGATAAAAATGATAAGCGGAATGGTTAATAGAGTATGGTCTGATTCGGAAAGATGAGTCAAATGAAGCTCATACTAATATCATCGATTATTTCCTACCCAAATGTTACGGGCTGGAAGAAACTAAAATGTTTGAAGATACACCATCAGCCTCGATCGCGCGGTTTGTCTGCCTACCTCAATAATAAATATATCCATACAATAGGATAATTCATCCGTACAACCACACATTATTTGTCAACGCGCATTTATGGATGCTGCTACGAACGATTGAATTAGAAAGTGCAGTATAATCGTCGTAGGTCATAAAAGAATTACCGACAGAACTACCCGACATACCCGCTCTCATTTTAGAAGCCTGGTTAATACGTATTTGGCCAGGTCACCAGCCGTATAGTTGTCAAACATTTTTGTTGTCCCGTTGTATGTTTCTCTTCTGAGTCTTATCGCAATCTCTAGTGGTTACAGAGAAGGCGACAGACATCTAATCCGTATAATAATGAATGTCATATTATTCGAACCAATCTGACATGCGTAAACTAAACGGTTAGTAAACCAATATGGTTATCACCTTGATTACACGTCTGTAAATATAACTAGTTCCAACATTGGATCTGCTAGAGTGTTCAAGCTTAACACGGGCGAAGATGCGTAAGTTAGTAGATGTCGTAAAACAGGACAATAGTGGCCTTCAGCAAGCTAAAAGATATTATCAAATCTACGCAGAGACATAACTGGACATGAATACAACCTTTTTGAACCGGAGATGGTGAGATCCATCCCCGTTTGATTCCCACATTTCATTTCTCAATCCTGATGGATTCGATTAACGTTCTTGGTCCGATATCAGGAGTGACATGTCCGCAGGTATGAGTTATTGATCCTAAAGAACGCGTCAACTTTTTTATGCCATCAACGTTTGTTTGAATCGATCAGTACTGGTGGGTAGGGCACAAAGTCTCGTATGGCGTCTCAGGTTCATATCAACATTTCATTTCCCCCACCCACTAACTGAACTATAAAATGTGATGAACCTTAATACTGGACATCCTTTGCTGATAAGATTATCCAAGCTCGTGTTACTTACTCACTTTTAAGAGAATGATAATGAGTGCTTTAACATTAGAACGGTGGTGAATCAAAATCAGGTCAATCTCTCATAAAAGTGATTTGCAATTGGGGGTTTATTTTATTCAACCAATGAGACCATTAACATTTTACATGGTTTTTCTCTTGATACTTTCGTGAAAGAATGTTTACATAGCGTTAATATCAATCTTGAATATGGAACCAGAGAATTTTATTATTGATTAATACATAATTAACACATCCTTATTGTTCATGCTATCTTGGGCAACTCATTTTAGTTATTCAATGTACGTGTCTAACAATGGGTAATTCATACTGTTCAAGGCTTACTTGGTGAAACCTGCCAATAACAAGGATTTCGACAGGAAAACTCCGAGATATCACATCACCAAGTCATATGTTTCACAATGGCTGTCGTGATAGACTGCACAAAAGGCGAGTAGCTAATTGTGATTAGTAATAAGCTTAGGGTTTTAGTATTATTCAACATTAATGAAATAAAATGGGGTACCATGACACTTTGTGGCGTAAACAATAACGGTGACACCCCAAAAATCCAGTTTGTGGCTATGCCTTTGCATCGTACAGCTATCAATCAATCAGTCATTCATTCATCTCAATACGTTTTGAGAATGCAGCAAACTGGCTCAGCTGATGCATTCGAAGATGATTTCTCACACTTGTTAGATGCTTCCGTAGTGTCACCACCCGATGAAATAAGCACAATCAATAAAAAAAGGAAAAAGGAAAAGATAAAGACAACTATAGAAGATTATTATGCAGCATCGCCAAGCATCACCAATCAACCAATCAAAGTAAGAAGATGGACTTATCGTCTGTTGCTGAATATCATTGCAAAATCACTCAATTAATCCATATGAATGCAAGCAGAAGAAGAAGAAGAAGAAGAGACGTGTCGTGGAAGAGAAACGTTCAGCATATGACTCATCTGGTCAATCGGAAACGTTTCACGCCGTCAGGCAGAAAGCCCTGCCGCACTTATCCAATCTTGAATTGGAAGAGCTACAATTGCCAGGTATATCACTATTTCAATTCACAATTTGAGTATTCGCCAACATTTGACGAGTAATAGCGTCTTGGTATCCGTATGGGCATATGTTTGATCGTTAGGACTAATATCATGTCTTTTATACAGTCGAAGCGTTTGTTGATTCGGATGGTTTTGGATTAGAACGGTCGCTTGGGAATCTAATAAGCTTTATAAACTTTGGTACGTTACTTTTGTTGGCGGTTTGGCGGTAGATGTCTTCGACTTGATGACCTATTCTATTTATCTATATAAGTTGATCCCGAGTTGAAACTAAAAGAGCGACCAAGCCAAGCAGGGAATGGTTCCCCGTTGATGATAATGATTGCAATTTCAGCTGCGAGATCTGTCAAGTTGAGAAGGTATAAAAGTGTACATATGTGATCGCGGGGGTGATGCAATAGCTTATCATTTATTTCGACTGATTCACACTAGATTAACCGTTTGGCTTATGAACTTGATATCACTCCTTCAGAGCAATGATAGAGTACAAGTCGCCAACCATAAAAATAGCAAAACTATTCGGGAAACACTTTAAATTCAAGGATCAGGAGAAGTTCTTGGAACTGAACTTTATCAATATCGCAGTTACAACGCCAGAACGCATCTTGAGAATGGTAAACGATTCAGGTGAGTGATGGGTGTATTAACACTAACGATAAGAGTTCATTGATTACGTTAACAGCTTGCCACGGTTTATGTTTGTCGCTGTCACTTATAAGCGCATCTCTTTTTATCTCTCCCATCATCTATACCTTTTATTTAGAATCTCTCAATCTATCGAGGCTAAAGTACATCGTAATAGACGCTACATGGAAGGACGTGAAGGAAAGAAGCGTATTCGACGATGGGTGTAAAGAATTGATGCTCCTGTTTGCGAACAGTTTATTACTCGAAAAGATAAGAGTGAAGAAAGAGACCAAGATAGTGTTTTATTAGGTATATAAACGACAGTATAGAATCAGCAGCATGTCTGTAATGTACTTAGTTACATACTACTGTAAATTATGCAACTAGAGAAAGACATTCACTCAATTTCGTCGCTTTCCTCCTCCGCAGCATCTTCCGCTGTTACACCGTCCTTTATCGGACCTTGTTCTGTCTGTTTGAACTCTTCATCAAGTCTTAATAATCGTGCTGCATTGATTTCACGTAGGACATTGTTACGATCTTCCTCTAGTGGCTCTGCCGTGTTTGTCAGCTTTTTGTTGGGGCGCGGGATATATCACAAATATACAATATATTAATAATGCAGGGATAATTGAAGAAAAAAAAATATTGTCTAATATATGCGGTTAGCAGATGCTGATAATGTGATAATACATGACGTGACATTACCTGTTTTAGATAAGTCACTTCAGATAAGAGTGATTCAAAGATAGGTCTTGCGATGTGCACTGGTGAACAAAGAAAGGA